TGCTTTCCTCCGGTGGCCTTGAGCACGAGCCCTCGGGGGGAGCGGGCTCCCTGCCGCCGCTACCTGCGGCTCGGGGCCGCCTCGGCCTCCGGGGCCGCCGGGAGGTGCTGTGGCGGCGCTCACACCTGAGCCGCTCCCGCACACGGCCGCAGGCTGCTCGTCGGCCCGGGGCTCGGCCGGCTCCCCTGATTTAAATGGTATTAGCGTTGCACCCCGCTATTGTCAGGGCAATTTAGGAGGTGATGAAACAGTAAATTGTTGATGGTTGAAACGTAGGCAGCTTTGTGCTCTGCCAAGCAGGTGCCTGGCGGTTTTAGTCAAGGATTGGTAAATTTACAAGAGCGCAGTGGACGTGCCCTCCCCGGGCTATTGTGAAATTCAGGAGGGAACAAAGGAGAACGTGAATATTCACACAGTCGCCTTTCAGCGTGTGGCATTTCTCCGCAATGTTTAAAGCTTTTTTTTTTTTTTTTTTTTTTTTTTTGGTCTAAAAAAAAAGAGGGAAAAAAAAATCAGAAAGTACCTGTTTGCGTTTTAAAGCGCATGGAAATCACCCGTGAGCAACCATATAATTTGATTTGCTAAGCAATCTGCGAGGCGATTGCACATCATTTATAATGTTCATTGAGCATTTTGCTTAATTGTGTCTCTTTTTGTAAAGGAAGCACAGCCCCCTCCCGGCTGCGGCCGGCACAAGTGGCGAGATTCCCATGGACGGCAGCTTTGCCGCAGACAAACGCCCGCCTCGCGCGAGGCTTTTCCCAAGCGGAACGGCCGGCGCGGTGCCGACGCGCACGTCTGGGAGCCGAGAATGGGGCGCAGGTACGAGCTCGCCGCTGGAAGCCTCTCCATTCAGGATGCGGGCAGGTGCTGCCCGGCCGGCGGCGGAGGCGCGGCTGCGGGCGCGGTGCCCTCCGGCCGGCCGTCGCTCGACGGGGCGCTGCGGGGCGGGGGAGAGGCGTCGGGCCGGGCCGCGCGCTGCGGGTTCTGCGGAGCGCTCGCGGCCGCCACCAGCCCGGCAAGGGAGCGCGCTCCGAGCGCGGCCTCCCCTCCGCCGAGCCCGGGGCTGGCGCCGGTCCCGCTCCGGTCGGGGCAAAGCCGGCAGCCGGCGAGGAGCGAGCCTCGCCCGTCCGCCCGCCCGCACCTCGCCGGCCTCGGCCGCCCAGCCGCACCATATAATTTGATTTTCCCCCGTGCCCGCAAATCGATTGCAGCTCATTTGTTATATTCAGCGGCTCCTCGGGGCGGGAGAGCGGGGGAGAAAGGCGGGCCGGGGGAGCCCTCCCTCCGCCCCCCACCCGCCGCCCGCCGCCGGCACAAGTGTTGGGATTCCCATGGGCTGCGCTGCTCTCCAGCTTGCCGTGCTGGCACCCCGGGCCGCGCGGCCGACAGAGGGGGGTTTGTAGACACGGTGACCTCCGCGATCTCGCCTTGAAAGAGCCTGAAAGGAGGCTCTTTACGCTGCATTACTAGCCAGGCGCCCAGGTACCGGCGCCGAGGGGAGCCCGACCCCGGCTGCAGGTGCCTCCCCCCCTCCCCACGGCGCCACGCTCGCCCCACGAGCGATGCCGAGGGCGGGGGGAGAAGCTCTCCCCGGCTTATTTATGGCCCCCACGTGGTGACGGGGCCGGGCCGAGCTCCCTGCGCAGAGCTGGTGGCCGCGTGGGATGCCCTGAGACAGCCCCGAGAGGGGCCGGGGGTCCCCCGCTTCGGGACAGGAACGGTGCAGGAGGTGCGGACAGGGAGCGGGCAGCTCCCCACAGCTGCGTTGCACTTGGCTTCAAGTCACCGCTTGTTGATTGTAAACAAAACGGAGGAGATGCTATTTTCCATCAGCTGAAGCGCCGTTTGAAATCAAGGGTTCCAATAGGGCTGTCCGTTTGCTTTTAATCTTTTCCTGCTAAAATATCATTCGTGCAGATGTTGGGCCAACTTTAGACCAGTTTTTAAAAGACTCCCTCTTCCTTTCTGCATCAAACACTGTATCTCTGAAAGGGCCCAACACACGAAGGAATCGCAGCAGGAGCCGGTGAGTTTTGTAATCTGATGGAAAAGAAAAAAAAAACTTCACACTCTCTATTTGCCCCATTGTGTCTCTGTGGCCTCCAGACCTCTGCTTAAACAGAGACTGGCGGGGTGGAGATGGAGATTTGCAGAAGAAAATTTGACACAAGGGAAGGGGGAACTCCCCCAGCTTGTCTCCTTGTGTATGTGGCTTCATGGCATTGGCTTAGCACCATGAGTTAGACAAAACATGCAGGTAACCTAGGAGTAAGAGCTGGAGTTTATGCTCTTTGTGGATAATCTACGGATAATCCCACAGACACCTCTTAGGGCACCTGAAGCATCTCATCTCTAAATAAGAGGTTTCATTATTCTGAACGTCACATGCATTTGAAAATGCTTCAGAAGACTTTGGAGTGAAAGACAGCATATGGGACGTGGACCTTGGTTCTTCTTGACAAGACTTTGCCCATGCTCCCTTAACTCCCCCTCAGTGCTAACACGTGTCCCTACTTCCATCTTTGAGCAGTTGGGCACAGAATGCACAAAATGGGGAGTACGTGGTACACACAGTGGGGAGTCTCAGGAGCGTGCAGCATCCTCGAGCATGATTAGGGTTAGGGTTGAGTTAGGGCTCGCTTAAGGTTGGGCTAGGGCTCAGTTCAGGTTGGGTTAGGATTGGATTAGGATTGGCTTGGGGCTTAGTTAAGGTGGGCTGGGGTTGGGTTAGGTTTAGACTAGAGTTGGCAACAGGAGGGTGGGATGGGGTGTAGAGCTTCTTCCCTCCACTCTGCTGGGGCTGGATTTGTCTCACTGTCTTCGAAGGGGAGGAAGTGTGGCCCTTGGTGCCCCCCTCTAGTTCCTGCCCTCGGGGAATAGGAATGATGCTCATTGGGAGCTACTCAGGCACTTCCCCTCTGGAGGTGCTGCCGGGATTGTCACTCCCGCACGCAGGCGGATGTCAGGGCGATCCCCGACGGGCGTTTGCGACACGGGCGGTGCTTGCCCAGGTGCTTGGCCGCGGTACTGCGACCGCCTCCATCTTGTCACAAGTTTCCTTTTCATGAAGTCTTGGGCAACGCTTGCGTCAGGCATCCCTAAGGGAGATGCGAGTTCCTTTTCCATGCGCAAATGCGCAGAGCGGAACAGTAGCGTTACAAAGCTCTGCCCCACGGGCACGGCTGCGTTCAGGCGATGTCCCTGAGCGGGGTACCTGAGCTGAGCTGTCGTCCCGCCCCATCAGGAAACCACCAGCAGTTTGTCCTCGCTTTCCAGCAGTCGTTGTCTGAAAACCTTCCGCTGGCAGCCCTGGAGTCCCGAGCTCGGGAAATCTCGTTCCCAATAGCTCTGCGGGTTCCCGAAATACCCCTCTGTCCTTCCAGCATCGTGATGCTGCGAGAGACCCACAAAAGGTCCCCAACGCCTATGGAGCTGCACCCGACGTGCGGGCAGCACACGGCAATCGTGCTGATCACGGCCGGTTCCGAAACTCTCCATCTCCTCCTGGGGAAGCGTGGCAGAGCAGAGGATTGTCACTCGTGGGTGCTGCCCCCTGGGCACGGGGGAAAAGAAACAGCGCCGGCAATTCGGGAAAGTCTCTTGAAGTCTCCTGAGCAGTGGTTTGTCTCCGGGTAAGGGTGGCAGTGTCCGAGCGTTCCGTGCAGGAGACGTGCATCCGTGTCTCTAGGCACGATTCCTTCACACGCAGCGGGGATGCGTTGCACATGGGGCACACGGGAAAACTTTTCCCATCGGGAGGAAAGAGCGGCTCCGGCTGTCAGGGAGCGCTCGCTCCGACGCCGGGCGGGGCGGCGGACGGGGAACGGGGCTTTTTCCAAGTGTCCCCCTCTCGCCGTGCCGGTGGCTGCGGCCACTCGTGGGCGCGTCCGCGGCATCGCTCGGAGGTTCCCTCCCTCTCGCCCCGTCCTCAACGCAGTCCGAAGGCGTTCTGAGAAGGGCTGTGCGAGGCTCTTTGTTCCCCCCGGGACTCACACGTCCCCGCCGTTATCACGGCGCTGTCAGCCGCTTTGAAGTTGCGGTCATTTGTTACTTTTCGGAGCGGCCCCGGCTCGCTTCGCTGATATAGGGGTTCGCTTCCCCCTCCGGTTTGATCTCTGCCTGCACCGTACGAAGCCACGCTCGATAAAACCTCGACAGCCTTTGCCGGCAAAATATCGCAGCGCTAATGAGGGAGATAATCCTTCCCTAATCTGATGTGTAATCCATTTCCTCGCAGTGAGAATTGTGAACGCTTTCATCAGTGAGAGTCCGTTAGGGAATTATTAACCGGGCCTCAGCCAAACGGGACGGCTGCGGGGAAAGGAAAAACGCGGCACGGCCCCGTGTGCCACCCACCGACGGGGCCTTGGCGGCCGCCGCGGTGCGACCGAACGCTACGCGGCCAGCTCCTCTCCGAAAGCGCCGCTCTGCCCACGGCTCTGCCGGCAGCGGCTGAGCCCCGCGGTGCCGCAGCCCGGGGCAGCCTCCGGCCTCCGCACGCTCGGGAGAGAGACCGGGACCGCGCGCCCGACGTAAATGAACCGCGGGCGGCGCGGAGCCTTCGACGGCGCGCATCCCGCCCCCAGTGGACCGTGCGCTGCCCGGGGCCGGCGGGGCAGGGGGCTCCCTCTCCGCCAGCCCCTCGCCCGACGGCATCCCCGAGATGCTCCCCCATCTCCCCCGCCCCACTCGCACTCCCCCGGCGGGGCGGGGGTTGGGGCGGCGGCTCCCCCTGCGGGCGCCGATTGGCTGGCGGCGGCGGTCACTGGCACGCGCCCGGGGATGTCGTTATAAGACTCCTCGCGTGCCGGCCCGCCGCGCCAGCCGGCTCCGGCCTCCTCCCCGGAGAGCGGCGGCACCGGGCCCGGCCTCCCAGCGCGCCGCCGTTCCGCCAGGGGCGGGGAGGGGCGGGGGCCGGGGCGGCCGCGAGCGAAGCCGGCGGGAGCGGGCGGAGGCGCGTCCCGGCAGGGCCGCCCCCCCCGCCTCGCGGCGGCGACATGGACGCGGTGCTGCTGGAGCACTTCCCCGCGGGGCTGGACTCCTTCTCCTCGCCGCCCTACTTCGACGAGGAGGACTTCTTCCCCGAGCCGCCCTCGCGGGAGGCGCTGGGCGCCGACGGGCTGCCGGAGCCCGACGTGGACTTCCTCGGCCGGCAGCTGCACGAGTACTACCGCGACGGCGGGGACCCCGACGGCGGCTATTGCTGCGAGCCGGCGGCCGCCGCCTTCCCGCCGTCGCCCGCCTCTCCCGGCTTCGCCTACGAGTGCTGCGGGGCGGCGGGCGCGGGGCTGCTGTCGCCGGGGGGGCGGCTCCGGGCGCTGGGCTCGGCCAAGCGGCGGCGGCGGGAGCGCTCCGAGGCGGAGCTGCAGCAGCTGCGGCAGGCAGCCAACGTGCGGGAGCGCCGGCGGATGCAGTCCATCAACGACGCCTTCGAGGGGCTGCGCTCGCACATCCCCACGCTGCCCTACGAAAAGCGGCTCTCCAAGGTGGACACGCTGCGGCTCGCCATCGGCTACATCAACTTCCTCAGCGAGCTGGTGCGCTCCGACCTGCCGCTGCGCAGTGCCGGCGGGGACGGCCCCAGCCAGCCCAAGAAAATCATCATCTGCCACCGCGGCACAAGTAAGTGGCCCCCGCCGCCGCCCGCCCCGTCGCGGCCCCGTCTGGGCGGCCCCGCCGTAACCTCCTGTCTCTCTCCCCCTCGGCCAGGATCTCCCTCCCCTAGCGACCCCGACTACGGCCTCCCCCCGCTGGCCGGCCACTCGCTGTCGTGGACCGACGAGAAGCAGCTCAAGGAGCAAAACGTCATCAGGACGGCCAAGGTGTGGACCCCCGAGGACCCGCGGAAGGCGAACGCCAAACCCTCGCTCAGCGACATCGAGAACGAACCCCCCCTCGGCTTCGTGCCGTGAGGCTGCGCCCCTCCACCCCCGTGCTGCACGGACAGACTTCCACCCCAAGTGTAACTTAAGACTCAGACTCTAAGGCAATCAACTTTATTTATCTATTTATTACGGAGTAGACGTAATGAGGTAGAATTGTCCGTTCTGAATGTATAATTTATATAATTTATCGTGATTTTTTAAAGATATGCAAGATAGGTTTATCCCACCAGCACCTTTTTTTTTGTTTGTTTGTTTGGAAAAAAAAAAAAATGCCGGAACCTGTGAAAATAATTTATTTCCACACGCGGACTCTTCCTGTGTCTGTGAATAATAAACCCGGGGCACACCTTCTGAGCAGCGTGGCTGTGGGGAGCGCTCCGGCTCTGCTGTCGCCCGGGGCCGCCCTTATAGTGCCGGAGGGCGGCAGGGGGGGCACTTTCTATTTTCTCTCCACCCCTCCTGACGTCCCCTCCTGAAGTGTTTCCAAGTAATGTCTTTGTCTGTCTCCAGGAGGTCCCGTCCTTTCAAAGCCTTCGTGGTTTCCAGCAGAACGTCCCCTGGTCCCGCAATATCCCCCCCTGAGAGGTTTGCCCCCCCGCGGCCTCATTCCCGGCCACGGGGATAGGCTCTCGTTCCCCCTCCCGCCTCCAGGCGGACAAAGCTCTTCCCAAAAGTGCCGGGGAAGGGGACAGAGCACTGCCGCACCTGCGGAGCGGCCCTCGCTCCCCTCGCCTCGGGGACACCGCAGAAACGAGGCGGGGGAGGGTGGGGGGGTGGCGGGAGGGAAAGTTGGCGGGTAACCGGTGGCAGAGAAGCTCTGGTTGCTGCAACGCAGCATGCCGGGGGGCGGTCGGGGGCCCCGGGCCCTGCACCTGCCCGGGGACGGGGGGGAGTGGGGGTGGGGGCAGCGAATGCCACCGACGAGGGCCGAGGGGGAGGAGGGGGGCGACCCAGCGTGGCCCGGGGTGGGGAGGGGGCTCGGCCCAGCGCCGCAGGTGCTGTTTTTCCCGTGGCACCCGCGGATCTGCCCCGATGGCGCGGCCCCGACGGCCCCCGGGAGCCCCAGATGCCCGGCCCAGGCCGGAGTAGCGCTGTCCCGGGGAGGGACAGGCGGATGGGAATGGACCTGGTGAGCCGAGGTGTAATTATTACTCATCATCATATAGAGGGCATCTCTCGCTGTCTTTTTTTTTTTTTTTTTTTTCAAAGCAGCCGCAAAGTGGGAGCAATATGTTGTATGCATGCTAATTGCATTAACCTAGTTAGACACATTTAGTTCCCTAGCGCGGATGGCATGGATCTATTCCAATAGCAATTAGGGGAGCTACTTACCCACACTAACGCGGCCCGGGGAAGGCTCTTGCTTATTTCCTTGCTCGTTTTCCCCGGATTCCCCAATGCCGCGAGCCTCGCGCGGTCCTGCGGCAGAGGGAGGGAAGGAGGGAGGGAGGGAGGGAGGGAGGCGGCACCGGCGGCGTTGAACTTAAACGGGGCTCTTTGAGCGAGAAAAGCGCCGACCTATAACTCGATCTTGTCCTGTATTAGGACCTCATTAAACACAGAAAGTCGCTTTGGCACAAATGCTTCCATCAGGCATGTAATCTCATTACACTCATTAGAAAGTCAAATGGTAGTCGGACTTCGCCTTAATTATAAGTTATGGAAGTGTCGTACCGCTTCCTTCTGTGCACGGCCCCGTCCATCTCAATTGGCTGTGGCGATGCGGTACCCCACCATTAAAACACTACAATCATTGTTATGGGGCACCTTTTCTTCGGCGTGCCACTTTTTTTGTGATTCAATGCTTCAACACATCCTTTAGTATGGTGCAGATGAAGCGGAAGAGCCGGCCCTCGCGGGGAGAACACCAGGGTCTCTATCTTGTCACTCTCCCGTCCCGACTTGCCAAGTCCCTTTAAACGCGACCTTCAAAGAGACTGACAGCTTCTTTTGACTTCCTCAGCATCCATTCACCCGAGCGCCGCGCTTCTGCGACAGGGTCCCGCAGCAGAAGGGGCGGCCGAAGGGCCCGTGAGGGTCCCCGGCCGGAGGGAGCAGGCGGACCCGGGTCGCTCCCGCACACGACCTCGGGGCAGCGCTGGGCTTTTGCGAGTGGGCAATGCGACGTGGCGCGGGGCAGCGTGGGGCAGCCGCGAGTGACGGCCATTCAGCTCCCACCGCCCGCCTGCCCCTTTTTTTCCAGCTGCCGCGACGGGGGGCAGCGCCGGCTATCGTCCCCCCCCTGCCGACAAATGCCCGTCGTACCCCGCAAGGGGAATCCCGCAGCGCACCAACGGCGCCCGCCCACCCGTCCTCAGCCGCGCTGCCCCGACGACGCCCCGAGGGGCTCCGTTCCGGGGAGAGAGGGGGCAGCCTCGGGGATGTAGAGAGGGCAGAATCCCGAGCCCGGTCGGACGGGATGGGGGGAGACGCTTGCCAGAGCCCCGCTTCCCAGGTGGGAGCCCGGCGTGCGGACCCGCGCTGCCTCGCGAGCCCGGCGTCCGAGCTTCCGAAGCCCCGGTGCACGGCCCGTCCCGAAGGGTCCGCTAGGAAACATAAAGCGGCAGCGGAATGCGGGGCACCGACGGGCCCGGCTCGGCACCCCGAGGCGGGGCGGGGCGGCGTGGCTCCTCCCGCAGTGCGCGGCGCGGGGCCGTCGGGGCACCGTGAACGCGGCCCCCGGCGCGGTTCCCAGGCCCGCACCTGCCCGCCCGCGCCCCGCACGGAGCCGCCCGGTCCGGCCGCGGCGCCGCTCGCATTCACGCACCCCTCGCGGGCACCGAGTGCCAGCTGCGAGGTCTGACAAACACCAGTTGAGTGTCCCCGGGTAAATCTCCCTCTTTCCAAAGGCGTGCCACAGCCGGTGGGAACGCCCCGAGAGCGCTCCGCGCCGCCGAGACCTGGAAGCGCGGGCGGGAGGCGATTCCCACGGAGGGGCCGGGGGCTGCCAACAGGTGCTCGGCTCTGGCGGAGGGCGCCGGGGGACTCCGGGGAGGCCGAGCCTCGCTGCCAGCAAGCAGCCTGCGCCGGCGCCTCCGGCTTTACATGGCGTGGAAGCCGCAAACAATCGCAATGATATCTTTATTGCTAGGTTCATGTCCTGGGCTATAACATATCAATCCCTGTCGTGGTTCTCTCGGATGCACCTGGTATTTCAAACTTGTTCTTTTTGTGCTTCTGGGTCCTGGACTGCAGCTGCCTAAAGCGAGCAAAGAGAGAGGCCCTTACAATGTGTCCAAGACGTGTTGGCATGGTTTGCTTGTCTTTAATGTACCATTAACCATTGTCTTTACACAATATGGGAACTGTAAAGCATGACATGTGTTATAATAAAACACATTTTCAATGATACACTTGGACTCGGGGCTGGGACGCGAGCAAACAAACAGGCCCAAACCTTGTTTTGTCTCCCTCGCTGAGCCCACTGGCAATTAAACTTAAGACCACTGCTCTCCCCCGATCGGCCAATTAAATTTTACGTCTCCTAATTTTTCACATAGAAAAAAAGTCTCGGGGCTGGCCCCTAAAGACATTGATTTTCTTGCTATCACCTGGCGCTCAGACCTTAGTTCCATTTATCAAGAAGGGAAACGTCAGGCGTTACATAAAGTGACTCTGTTACCATAAGGCTCTCACCATCCTGCCCCATTGTTTTCCCTTGTTAATAACTCATTACCAGGATTTAACAAATCAACCATTACATATGTTTTGTGTCTCCATATTTTGATCCGTACGATTAAGCAGATGTTACGATTGAAAATTGAAAAGTCCAAGGCTACTCTAGTCTGAAAGAAAGAGGGCAGCCTCAAACAACGAGCTAACAATGAGATTCAGAAGATCTTCAGAAAAACATTTACGACCAATAAACAGACTCCAACCTGCTCCATTTCAACCATTGTGCGCCTTTGGGGAATAATTAAGTTTAATAGGAATAGGTCCGCGGGGTTTTCAATGCCAAGCCCACAGGTGCGGGGTGGCACGATGAATGATTCGCCTGATTTTTGCCAAGCTCAAGAGCCCTTCTCGTGGACTTTCAAGCAGATACGAAATATTGTCATTTCTTTTAATTCACGGCATTACTTTCAGGCCGAACAAAGGGGCGGGGGGATGAATGGCTCCGGCTGTAAATGAAGCGCTCCCGGCCGCCGCGAGCCTCGCCGGAGACCGCCCGGCGGGGCCGAGCGCGCCGCTCCCGCCGCTCGCGGGGGCCGCCCCGGAGGGCCCCGAGGGCCCCGAGCCGCCCCCGCGCCGCGCCGCGCCGCCCCGCGCCCGCCCGCGGCCCGAGCCGCCCCGCGCCCGCGCCCCGTGCCGCCCCGCAGCGGGACCGGACCCCGCGCGGGCGCGCGTGCGCCCCTCCGCTCCCCGCCGCTCCCCGCGCCGCCCCCGAGCCCGGGAGGAGCCCGGCGGGGCGGCCCCGCGCCGGGGGCGGCTCCCGGCCGCGGCCCACGCCGCCGCCCCGCCGCCGTCGGGGCTCCCGCGGGCGGCTGCGGGCGGCGGTGGCGGGGCTTTCTCGCCCGCCGCTCCGCGTTGCGCATGGAGGTCTCCAAGAGGGGGCCCGGTTGCGGGGCGGCCTCCGGGGCGAGGGCGGCGGCGTCCGGGAGCGGCGGCTCCGCCGAGGGCGGCCCCGAACTGTTCCCGGCGAGGGGCCGCGGAGCCGCGCCGCGGGGCCCCGTCTGGCGGCGGCACCACCGAGCGGAGCGGGGCTCCCCCCGGGCGGCCCCTGGGGTGGCGGCGCGGGCTCCGGTGGCGGCGCTCGGCTCGGCGGCGACCGGCGCAGCGGCTATCGGAGGGCGCGGAGCCGCGCCCCGGGGGGCCCCGCGGGAGCGCCCGCTCCACAGCGGCCCCCGCGGCCCCCGCCGTCGCCCGCCGCCCCTGCGACCCCAGCCCCGAGGCTTTCCCGTGCACCTGCTCGGCGCAACTCGTTATGCCGAGCGGCTTGGAGAGGCCCGGGGAGGCTCGGCCACGTCGCTCACGGCTCGGGAGAAGCCCCCCTCGCGGCAGTGCTGGAGCTCGGAGCACCTCCAGACTCTCAGCCAGGCTACACTCTGACCCTCCGTGTACCCCCGGACAAGAGCTCCGAACCCCGCCGCACCGCCAACCCCAGGCGGAGTGGCGCGACTCGAACCTGCAGCCCCGACGGGCGGAGCCTCCCCGCCCCCACGGCGAGGCAGCGCCCCGAGATCGCACAGGCGGGCTCACGCCGCCGCCACCTCGCGCCCCGACGGGGATCCCGAGCCCCGTGCCTCCCCGGTGCGCGCCGGGCGGATGCGAGCTCCGGGTGGAGGAACTCCGCGCCCGGCGGACGGAGGCGGTGTTGGGAAATGTCTTCTTCGG